CTTAGGGCAGAAGCTACTGCTCAGCAGGTGGCTGTAATCCGGAGAAACGAGACAGGAACGAGCACCTTTGCTTAAAACTGGAAGGCAGGCTCAAAGATTTTTATGTTTCCAGAATATGTCCTACAGGTTAAGCAAAATATGTGAAAGCTTCTTTCAAGATTAACTTTTGTTGTTTTCAGCTTAATCTCTCACAGCAGACTAGTGGACTAAATCCTCCCTATCAATTATAAAATAGCTTTAATAAGGTACACTTTAGACAGGTTTTCATTCATTCACTCATTCCATAAAAATGCTGCTCTGCAAAAGGTAGGTACTGTGTTACTCTAAGATCTAGAAAGCAAAACAGAAAAGTGGGAATAATCACCCTAGTGTCATATTCCCAGTTAAATAAAAGGCAAAGAGAAAGGAAAAAGGGCAAGACTGGAGGCCTTAAATGTAGCGTTCCTATCATTCATGATGACATGATTGGTAAGATAGTCCTTAGTTAAAATATATAGCCATAAGTTGCACCATAAGTTACACTCCAGCAACAGCACCGAAATGAAAGGGGGTACCAAAGCATTACTGAAAGCAGAATTCTGCCTTTTTTTTTTCCTGCACTGTGTTCCTTTTTAAAAATCATCCATTGTAGCAGATAGCTCTCTCTATTTTTCACAAATTCCTCAAAATCTCCTTGAGGACTGGAGCTTGGAGTCAGGTCACAGGAAGTGGGAGACTTATCCATGCACTGATTCTACATCCTTCTGAAGAATCAAGATCGCTTTGATATGTTAAGCAAAAACTTGAAATTAGTATGAGCAGTTTCTTATTCTAAGACACAAACAGGCGCACTAACAACTCCGAGAACTCTCTCACTATCATCTCCTCAGACACGGATACAGAGGCGCAGCAATTCTTAGGGAGTATAAGAAAACAAAAAGAGAAAAGTGCTTTAAAAGTAATTCCTCCATTGAGACTGCAATTAAAAAAAACACTGCAAATAAAAGAATTTTTAATGCTTACTGTTTGATTTTCTCTGAAAAATCTGGTTATTACAATATTACATTCAGTACGAATGGGAAATTGTGAGAATAAAGAGACACAACCTTATTGTATGTTGAGCAATATAGAGGGAATCTACTACGCACTTGCTAGTTGGAGCCTTTTTAAAAAAATGAAAAGGTTTACATGAAAGGTTTGCATAAAGTCACCGTTTACATGTGAAAAGCAAAGAATATGGATGCTTACAGGAACAGAGCATAATTCATATGAAAGAACAAGATGAAACTATAGACCAAATGTCCTACTCTTTACCCCAAACCCTGCAGTTCACTAGAAATGCTCTTTATACATGTACTACAACTTCTGGAAAAAAATTCCAATTGCAATTTCATGTGGGACATGCGAGGATATTTCTTCAGGAAAAAAACTTGCTGCCAGATGAACCTCTTCTCTAATATCTGACACAAATCCTCATTTAAACATTTTAAACATTCAGGAAAATGAAGCAGAAGATTTATTGTGTGGATAAGAAAATAACCTGGCCTGGTGTTTTTCAGCTAATCAAAATACACACATAGTGCACCAGCAACACTAGAGAGACAGAAGCACGTGCCTCTAGAAATCACTAGTTCTGTGTGCAAGTACCATTAAAAAGATAAGAATGCCCAGGGATTCAAATTTTGTAGCTAGACCTGCTATTGGTAAAGCAAAATTGCTTTTTCCAAGATTTACCACTATAGGGTCTGGAGTAACAGTGCTCTCTTGTGGTTAAACCCGCGCAGCTCAGCACTTGGTGTGGATTCACACAGGGGAAGTCCTGTGTACGCAGCCTGAAGGCCCTCTGCGATAACAGGACTGGGGAGCAGGGGATACAGCCTCTCCTGAGAGCTGGCTGGACGGCAGAGCTCAGGCAGCTGTGCTCAGGGGTACAAAGTCTAGCTGCAGGCAGCATCCCCAGTGTCATGGGGTCAATTCTGGGTGCAGGATTCTCCAATTTCCTCCTCAGTGACTAGGCCAAAGGGACAGCATGCACCCTGAGCACATTTGCTGAGGGGACAGACATGGGGAGAGTGGCTGAGTCACCAGGAAGCTGCACAGCCCTCCACAGGGACCTCACCAGGCTGGAGAGATGGGCAGAGGGACACCTCCGCATTCCACCAAGGGAAGGGCAAAGTGCTGCTCTGAGGGATGCAGCACCCTGGCCCCACAACGAGCAGCCTGGAAAGCCACCTGAAGAGAAGGACCAGGGAGTGTGGTGGACAACGACGTGACCATGAACCTGCAAACTGCCACCGGCTGGTATTACAGAAGAAAAAGTATTTCTGCAGCACAGAACTTAGAAGTAACCCACACAAATAATACTGAAATGGACAACACGTGCTGGGCTGTTCTCCATGAAGAGGAAGAAAGGCTGTCTTCTTTAGACTCTACATGATGCACACTTGTAGACCAGTGAAACTGCTACAAGCACCCACAGAGAAAAAGGCTTTTGTAAGACCTTTCTGTATTGTGCATTTATATTTGATTTGCAAGAAATTAAAGTAGAACTAGTTAGCCAAGAGGCAGTAATCCATGCCTTGTTCCTTTTTACATAACTTAAATTTTTCTCACAACAGATGGATTAGTTTTAACCACTAATAAGGTTTCTCCCTTACTTATGAAATCTTTTCTATGCTTATTGTCCATTACTTGTCCTCTTGCTACATTGTGCACAGTGCTTTAGCCTCATACTTAGACAATAGAGTTTATTGTGAAAAATTATGAAAATTTTCCTCTTTATACAGTGGTGATTCACAAAAGATATCCTACTCCATCTAGTTAAACAACATATTTGCCATCCAAATCTTTCCAGTTAAACTGGCTAATTTAAAGCGCCCAAAGGCACTGTGAGGGAAACCTCACAGATCTACTCCGTCAGATTTACCTATTTCCAGTTTCTTGGAGGCAAAACTCCATTTTTTAACCAAGACAGACACACTTGCTGATGAACTACAAGTTTCAAACATGCTTTCTTGCAGCGACTCCTCTCCATTTCAATTTATTTACTTTTTTTCCCCCCTGAGGATCAATATTATCGTAGCAATTCTTAACATCAACAAGTTAAATATTATATATATACATATATATATATATCTTGATGAGATGACCAAGAGATGACAGTCTGATTATGCCAAAAGAGAGTAGTTCTGTTAGTCTCATTTACATGAAGGTCCCTATTTGTAGGAAAACCAGGCATGGAGTCCAGGTGGGCATGGATAAATATAGAGCTTAATTAAGAGATAAGAGATTAAGCTGCTTGCAAGCTATTGATAGAGATTTTAGTCAAAACAAGACACTAGAGCTTTGTTTCCGTTAGAGCTGAAGGGAAAAAAAAAATCCCCTCTGCAATAAATGCTGACCTTCTTAATAAACATCACTAAGTTTTACATGTCCTTAACAGCTTTCCACAGTCTGCTGCTACCAGATGTCTCCCATAGTCTCTTCAAGGTACACCAGCAATCAATGCTTCATTTAGCTAAGATTTGAAATTACACAAAAGAATCTGTTAACATGTGTCTCCTGAACATAGCTGAAAAGTAATGGGTTCCCCCAATCAGTTTATATCTTATTTTTGAGAAAGGGGAGCAGCCATACAAAGGAAAAATACCTTTTTGCGAAGCCAGGAGAACAAAGCCAGTAGGGAGTTGGCTAATACTCGTCTTGTCTTTCTTGCCCTAAAATAACTGAGTAGAGGACAAGATATCATGTGTAGACTTCACAGGCAACAGAGTGACACAAGGAGGCTACAATTCTCAAGTTGGGGAACAGGATCTATCTTGGAGGCAGGCAGAACAAGAAGGTGAGACTGGTTCTGGACTGGAAGAACAGCACGGTGTGGTATAAAGCTCAATAATTACTAATAATTCAGGAGAAGTCTTTATATAGTAAAGATGATTTGAAGAAGATAAAGCCCTTAAGATCCAAGTTTAGTCAAAGATAACTTGGAAAGAGTATGGAATATACCCAGTAATGACTTTTTAGAAATGTGCAAACAGTTGCAGAAAGACAAAGTATCGACAAAGTATCATACAGCCTTTGTCATGTGAAGGCAGCCCACCATCATTCTATCCTGCACAGGGAAATGAAGACATCTAGGATATGCAAGGCATGTACAGTCCACAGTCCAACTGATAAGACTTTGATTTTGCACAACAGGCTCATTAGACAAATATTAAGTAAAGGCAGCTATAAGTAAACAGTCAGTCCTGACCAGTTTTAGGTAATACAATTATTTAATAAATTGTCAAGACCTGTCAGCTCTTAAGATACCAAAAAGAAAGTTCACAAGACAAAAGGATACTACCACACATATCCATGATATCAAGGAAAATTTTATAAATTGATGAACTCTGAACAGAATAGTCTTCATAGCAAGAGGCCATAGTGCAGTTAATGCTCAATTACATATGAAATTCAAACTATGCTTGTGCTAGCAAATCTTCAAGGTTTTTTTTTTTTTTCCCCCCTCTTCAAAACACAACTCTCCCATATTGCAGGCATTAAATAGACTGCCTGACCATGACTTAAAGGAAGACAAAGTTTCAGTTTTCAAAAGTTTATCTACTGACCCACGATAAATTAGAGTACCTCTTGCACATGGGATATGGGGCTATATTACCAAACTGCAAAGAGAACTATACCACACCAATGAATAAGCAGTATTAACTACCATTATACACGTTATACCTAGCACACTAAACAAAAGTTTACATCTCTTCATTATTTACACAGAAGTGTAGACATAATGCATAACTCAGCTGCCACACAAAGTATTACTTCTTTCACACACTCTGCACTTTCCAGGTTTCAAGCATACTACACCATGATAAAAAAGATTCCTTCTTCTGGTTGTGTGCTTTACACAAAAAGCATCACATTCACAAGTTTGGCTGCTGGGAAAACTAAGGAAAAGAAAAAGTACTTTTACAAATCCTAGCAAATTCTAGAATGTTCCTCCCGTGCTGCAGAACAGATTACAGCAGTTTCATAAAGTGGACCTGCCACTTGAAAATACACATACTGTATACTTCCCTCAGAAGTCACTATCAATTAAATATGAGCTTTCACTTTCCACGTTGACATCTGTTTAACTTCATCAGTTCTTATGAGGATAGATTTTGCGTTGGGCTTCAGACTGCGACGTTCTACCTGTGAGACAGGAGTGGAATTAATAACATTAGTTTCAAGAAAACTGAAGGAAAAGATGTTTTCAATAAAGACCGATAAGTTTGTAGTAGTAGTTTTATTTTTCCTCTCTACTCAGGAAGAATAGGCAGGCCTATGCAACTGCTTCAAGTACCATTTTTCTTCAAAACATACAATGATACACAACTAAAAAATAAGAATGAATTTGCAATGAAGACTAGTCTAACCAGAAAAGCCCACCTTTCTTTTTTAGCTATTGTTAAACAGCCTGGTCTTAAAGTAGTCTTTCTTCCAGGACTGCATAAATCACTTTAACAGAAGAGATTCCAGGATCTATCTTTGTTTTTGTATTTAGTATTCAAAATGCAAGACTGATTAATTTTAATAAGTTTGCATTTTTTTTCCCTTTAAAGAACATTGGAGGTAGTTACTTGAACTACACTGAACCTGTTGCCTCTATTATCTCTGTAAAATGTATACTGCATGTTTCATGTGAAATGCTTGTGGCGCTTAAAATATTTTTCAAAAATATCTTTATAGCAGCAGATACAAACAAAATAGACCATAGTTATACCTAATTTTTCAATCGAGAAACTACCCACAAGTACAGCAGTAGTCTTTGAAGAACAATATGTTTTGCAATATTATTTATCTCTACTAGGCTAAGAAATGCCACAGTACCAAATATATACAAAACACGATCTCACTCTTAAGAAGATTGCTAAATAGAAAAGGACAGTTTGTGTCACTTATTTCTAGCTTTCTGACCTCTCAGCTCTGCTGTTTGCAGAATTCTCTAGAAAACAACCAACAGCACTGCTGGACTGTTTAATTTACTGCCGGTACACAGCAGTACCAGCACTCAATCATCTCTGTGTGATGAGGCTCAGCAAAAACATTCAGAATCACACTTTAAAAACATAAAATGTGCAGAAAGTCACCTCAAAGAGCAATGTAAGACTCAATATTTTGATTCTGTTTTCTGAACATATAGCACTTGCTAGTCAGACCTCTCTGTCCATTCTCAACACCTTTATCTGTAAAAATAAAAACAGCATTACTAACTGGACACACAGTTTCTATGCCTGGATAGCTATAGTTACCAACACACACACTTCCAAAGTTCAATTAATTATGAGCAGAATCTTTAGACTCACAGGCCTTGGTGAATATGGAAGTTTATCACCAATCTAAATCCACCTGTAATAATGACCTCTTCCTTGATTATGCTTTGGGAGGGGTGGGGAGAAAAGGCAATAAAAATAAATAAATAAAAAGCAACCATCTAAGCTGATAGTTTAAAAACATTTTGGACAAGTTCTATACTCTCTCAAAAGCCCGGCAGCTATTCATGCTAGTGGCAATTCCCTTCAAGAACGTAAAAATACCATTCTTCTATAAGAACATACCAATGGGATCTCTGGACTAGAAAATGGGGAGCTATCAAAGGATCGATTTTCTTTGTCCAGGGAATCGTCTTCATCATTGTTTTTATGTGCAAATTTCTTCTGAAGTGCATGGGTCAGTAGAGCAACCGGATCCCAGTCTGAACTCAGTCTCTTTTTAGGTCTGGAAAGTGGGGTACCTCCAGGTGACCTGCAAGAACAAAGACAAAGATTATCTCCTGCCCTTACTGCTGTGCTGAGTAATGTAAAAAGCAGCAAGATTGACTTTTGTACACATCCTATGAGACATGATTATGCTAGCTGTTAATGCTGTGTTACAGTAATTCACCAAACTAGATTAGTAAAAGCAAACTCAACTTCTCAGGCAGATTCCTAGCCTGAAACCACAGTTTGATACTGGTCTGTAAAGACAGACAATAATAATAATAATAATAATAGAAGAATACACACCACACCTTTCCTAGCCATTTAGTTATTTGAGGGGGGAGGGAAAAAAAAATAGGAATGTTCAAATTTGAGCTATTAAAGGTGCTATCTATAGGCCAGGGAGTTTTACCTAATGCATGCTGACAGCAGTGAGCTCACTGCAAAGTCTGCAAGTTACAGCATAAAAAATCCAAACTGACAGGGCACTTGCGCAGTCCGTATAAGATGGAGCTCCAGTGGTGGAAACTAGGATTTTCAGACTCCAGACTTAAGATAACCAAGGTATTTCCCTCACAGGGCACATTTTAAACTACTGTCAATCTAGAATGCTGTCTGAAAGATTATTATAATTTCTATCACCATTATTACCTCCAGCCACACTATAAAATGTCATGTTTAGCAGTGAGGGTGACGGAGCACGGGAACAGGCTGCCCAGAGAGCATGTGGAGTCTCCATCTCTGGAAATCTCCAAAGGCTGCCTGGACGCAGCCCTGTGCCACGTGCTCTGGGTGACCCTGCGTGTGCAGGGGTTGGACTAGATGATCCCTGGAGGTCCCGTCCAACCTTAAGCATTCTATGTTTGTCCAGGAAAATTACCTAGGCTTGGAAATTACTTAGAAGGAACTATTGCAGACACAAATTCATTTTTCATTTAAGCTCTACCTAGATGATGCAGATAGATGCCCAGATCCTGGAAGCACTTCAGATGCCCACTTCTTATTTCCAGCTAAGTATGGCCTTGCTCAGAGTGATGGTTGTTTAAACTACCATTCCCAAACATTTCACTTCCTTCATTCATCATACACAGCATTCAGAAGCCTAAATGCAAAACTTACCCCTGGAGACAAATATCTCCTAGTTTGTTACCATAATGCTGATCTACCTAGCAGAACACCAAATACGTCTGAAAAACTGAGTCTAAAAAGAACATGTAAAGAGTGACTTTTGTTTTCACAAGTACCACAGTTCAGATTTTGTGTTAGAGAGACTAACAACATAATGCGCAGGTGAAGCTTAAACACTGGTTTACCTTAGTGCACTTTATATTCGCTTAATTTTATGGGAAAATATGTCACTAAAAGCACATGGACATTCTCTAGAGATTCATACAAATATTCAGCCTGCACTCGGTGCTAATGACTTTCCGGGATAAAGCACATAGTTAAGAAAAACTAGCTCCGTTGATAGAAGGCATTACACGTACAGTCATTAGTAAAGCATTTTTGTAACCCTAATTGCACCTCACTTAGAAGTATTTATAATCTAAAAGATACAACATTTATTTTCTTTAACACTTCAAAGCTAGCACAATATTTTGGATATATTAACTGCTTACAATGTTTCCCTAACTTTTCTGTTGTATCCCTTCACAGTGAAAACAGAAAGTTTTAGTTAGATTAGTTTCTGAGATAACCCCAGTCTGAAACACACACGCGCCCAGTGACCCACAAAACACTCCAAAACACCCTGAGATTTGTATACAAGTGCAGGCCTAGTTTTAAATGATGCAAGATTCAGCATTTCTAAATGCAATTTAAACCATGTCACATGTATCTCAATTTAAGCTGTAAACTTAAAGGCAGTCAACCTTAGTTTGCCATCAGTAGCTGGCAAATGTTTCAGTGATGTTCTACATTAGCATCACTGCATTGAAGTAGCAGCAGAAAATACCAACATAGTCTTCAAGTCCTTCAAACACAATTAAACCTACCTCTCAATAGCTTTCAGCTGAACCTTATTTAGGTCTTTCAAAACATCCATCATACTAGGAACATTCTTTGCCCTCTGGCTATCAGTACTATCAGTTGTAGTTGAACCACTCTTTCTTGCAGCACGACGTTGTTTTATAAGTTCAATTGCTGAAATACTGGCATCAACACCAGATGCTGCCCCAGAGGGAAGTGGAGGAGGTGAGGGAATGACAAAGTGATTGCAAGAGACGGACAAGGGTGTGGAAGTCATTGCTGGCACTGGGTAAAATCCATCTGGGATGCTAAATGTTTTAAAAGTTTCTGCATGTAATAATAAAAAGAGAAACAGGGATTTTATTTTTAATAGGTACTAGCACCTTAGTAATAAACAACATTAAGTCTAGCATCATTCAATTTTAAGTCAAAATAAAACAGTCTTCAAGCACTGGACTGGACCAAGGACTGACCCCTGGGGGACCCCACTAGCCACAGGCCTCCAACTAGACTCTGCACCGCTGATCACCACTCTCTGGGCCCTGCCATCCAGCCAGTTCCTAATCCATCTCACTGTCCACTCATCTATCCCACACTTCCGGAGCTTGCCCAGAGCTTTCTATATGAACTCCAGTCTTTGATAATCCAGTGGCTGCTAAGCACATCTATTTTGCAACATTTGTTTTTGCTAAAAACCAAAGGTGACTTCCTTAGAATTTTTGCCCATTTTGGTAATTTGTCAAAAAGAGTACAAAAAAAGAAAGGGTTAATTAATAATAGTCCATAAGTTTAAAAATAGTAATTGCTAGCCTATGAAGATTGTCATTACCACATTCCTCCACAAAAACAGAAATGAGTAAAAAGATAGATCACTCAACAACAACTTCATTTTAAATGCACAAGGGGTAAGAAATGCAAAAAGGAAAGCGAGAAAGAAAAAGCATATATTAAAAAAGAGAAAACAAGCACTATACTAATTTTGTTAGTTTCGCTTCAGTTAGAGAAATTGTAAGTGTTCTCTATCAATATCAGGGCAAGCTGCGAATAGGAACGTTAAAGCAAATAAAGGAGCACTGCTTTGCTTCAAACCAAAGGGCTTACGTGATGGAACGTTTCCCAATGTCTGTCCAGCAATAATTGCAGCAATTTGGGTACGAAGAAAGACTAACTCATCTTCAAGTGCAGAAATCTTCTGGAGTGCTTTTTGGTCAACAAGACTGTCCTTTTGTGTATTGTTTTTTGGACCACTTGGTAAGGAAACTACAGATGGATGTAGGTCATGGTGAACTGTACTTTTTTCTTTTCTCCACAACTCAGTCCTAGAAAGTAACGAAGACACAATTTAAACCTTCTGTCAGCAATAGAAATAACTGAAGTCTACCAAAGATATTAAATGTGTGGACTCTGGCAATAATTATTCCATGTTGGTTCAAGCAAGTTATCATCAATCATTCAGCAAAATACCAAACTACGTTTTGTTAAGTAGCGTGCAAGTTTTACATTTCAATTACTCATACCCTCAAATATGTGTTTTAAGTCTCCCTCAGCTCAAGAAAGACACAAATCCTCGAATCTCCATCATCATTTGGGTAAGAAGTGGATATATATTCTATCCCTGAGAAAATTAGGGTCATAAGGTAGGACTGAGTTGTTACTATTCAATTCAAATTGACACCATAAAACTGTGTCTTCTTCCTCTAAGTGCGAACTTAGTAAAAGTCAGACGATAAAGATCAGGAGATCTTTAGTTAGGCTTCACACGTTTAATTTATTCATTAACTTCTGTAAGCGACTAAGTAGTTATAATCTTTCAGAAAAATATAGTGGAGAAAAGTCATAAAAAATATTACTTCAATTGTGATTTTAATATACAGTTGCGTAGTAAGACTCTTAGCATCTAATAAGCATGTAACAAACAGACTGCATTAGAAAACTGCTACCAATTTTTTTCATTCTAAATTTTTCATTCTAAATTTCAGGCCTTTTGTTTGGCTGTAGAAATACTCTTGAAACATAAAATGAGCATATACTCAAGAAACTATCAGCATGAAGTTATGCAATAGCCACAGAAATTAAGCTTCCTTTATTTATTCCAAATTTATCAAGTTTTAAAGCAAACAAAAAAAATCAGGCCTTTTCCCATTATATTCATCATATTCCTCATTACTTTTCTCCCAGCACATGAAGCACTGTTTTCTAATTTAGCAAAACCCCTTGCTTTTCACACTAGCTCAGAAGGAAGAGACACAGATTACACTATTGCCCCTGAAAAAACATTCCACAAAGCCGGGAGAGAAGGAAATAAGAATGGAAATCATAGAAAAATGAATTTCTACAGTTCTGTGGATTAAAGTGCACAGGCAAGACAAAAAAACTAAAAGTTAGGAGACATGAATTTGTCCTTTGCGTGTGCTTATTCTGCTTTTACTTGCCTGAATCTAGTAAATGGTTGTCCCTCATCACTTGCCACCCATAGGACATCACTAAGTGATGGAACTACAGGAGTTGGGGCTGTGCTTTGTTCATCATAATCCAATGGACTTGGGTCTTGAACAAGCTAAAAAACAAACATACAAGAAACACTTTTTTTAGTGTGTACTAAATCCAGTTTATCTGAACAACAAAACATGTATGAAGTGCTGTAAGCAAGTTAAAAACAGTCATCAGAAGAGATCATAGAATCATAGAATGCTTAAGGTTGGAAGGGTACTCTAGAGGACATTCATCTAGTCCAACCCCCCTGCACACGCAGGGTCACCTAGAGTACGTGGCACAGGACTGTGTCCAAGAAGGCTTTGAAGATCTCCAGAGAAGGAGACTCCACAACCTCTCTGGGCAGCCTGTTCCAGGGCTCTGTCACCCTCACTGTTAAGAAATTTTCCTTAAGTTCCTGTGGAACTTTTGGTGCTTCAGTTTCTGGCCATTTCCTCTAGTTCTGTTGGTGGCCACCTGTGAAAAGAGGCCAGCACCATCCTCCTCACTGCCTCCCTTGAGGTACTTATAGACACTGATTAGCTCCCCTCTCAGCCTTCTCTTCTCCAGGCTGAACAGGCCCAGCTCCCTCAGCCTCTCCTCACAGGGCAGATGTTCCAGGCCCCTGATCATCCTTGTAGCCCTGCGCTGGACTCTCTCCAGCAGCTCCACATCCCTCTTGTACAGTGGAGATGTAGCACACTAATTACACAGACTAAAAAGAGCATAATCATTATCACTACACTCAAGTAGAGGCGTTACTTGAACAGTATGCATAAAATTACTTACTTGAAAATAAGGTCTTGGGCAAGGCTCCAGGGAAAGAATTGTGCCAAGTCTGCGAACGACACTTCGAGTTGGTCCATATTCCTTTCTTTGGCAAACAGATATGACCTAAAAATTAGAACTTCTTTTAATCAAAAAAGCCAGAATCAAAGCCTTCAGTTTCTACAATCCTTTTATGAATTAAGCTAATATATATAATTAAATATGATGCGGTCAAGTTAAAACATCTTTTCAATTCCATTCACAAGCTGATAATCCAAAGCCCACACTGATTTTACCAGCCGCAGTTTCTGAAAGACAACCAAGGAAGAGCTTGTATATTCTAGAGTGCCACATGGGCCTACAGTTTAGTAGCTAGCAATATTTGAGATATTAATAAAAAGTGCATGCCTGAGTGAAACATACGCAAGCACCTACAGCAATATGGGGGAAAAATAGTGAACAAAGGAAAAGTTTCATGTACCTTGACCCGATACTTCCTTATGATGGCATAAAGCTGCTGGAAATGCCTTCTTGATGAGGCTGCTGAAGGAAGGCATGTTCTGATTGTGCGACCGATATTGCAGCTGAATCTACGAGTTTCCAAAAAAATGGCCTGTCAACAAAACAGGATATGAAACCAGAATGAAACCAGAAACTACAATGAAACCAGAAAATAATCAGAACAGTTTGGTCAAACTATCACTCCTAGACCCAGCTTAGCAGCTCCACAAAAGGAGAATGACAACTTTTTCAGGACTGCAAGTGCCTCACTTGTGACCGTCCTCAGCAAAGAGCTTATTTATAAAAGGGCAATATAATGAAAGAGTCTGACTGCTGCTACAGCAGTGATCTGCTTCCAATTTCACACACCATACCTCTCCCCATCAGGTCTCCAAAAACAGAAGGTTAATCTGTTCTTCAAAAATGTTACCTAGGGCTTTTACTGGGACTTTTTTAGTTTGTTTGGTGTGGTTTTCCCATTTATAATGGTAAAACATTAACACTTAAAGCCACTGAGTTTTACTCTGTTTGGGGGAAGAAAAAAAACAAAAGGAACTACTAGAGTGAGTGTGAGTGAAGCAGAGCAGAAGCGCCACAAACCCCCCCCTGCAGACAACGGCTGCATCCCCCGCCACTGGGCGGGCTGACCGGGGAGGGCCCCTTCTCCCCTCAACCTCGAGGGCTTCCCCACGGCCGCAGCGGCCCAGCCGCGGGCAGGGCGAGCCGCGGCGCGGGACGGGGCAGCGCACGGGGAGCTCACCTGGTGCTCCGGCCAGCCGAGGTACTCCAGCACCCGCCTGAGGAGAGCCAGCAGCAGCGCCATGGCCGGCCACGCGGGAGGGCGGCAGGAAGGGGCCACCGAAACCTCCGGCACTGCCCGAGCGGCCCCGCAGCAAGCGCCGGGCCCTTAGGAAACGCCGCTGGTCCCAAGCGCTCCCTCCCGCGTGGACCCCGCTGCCAACGGCTCCAGCGCACACAGCCAACGGCTCCGGCGCGGGGAATAGAGCAACAGGCCCCAG